TCCAGAACAGTGCTGTAAAGTGCCGTTTCCCGCGGGGACGCTAACGGTCGCTAATCGCAGGTTAGCTGACCACCGTATTTTCTAATGCTACCTGAAGAGTGCTTCCAGCTAAGCTCAGATTAGGCTGTAATGAATTCTGATCCCTTACACACTTCAATTTACCTCACCTTAGACTCTGCATTGAAAAAAATATTTTTCTTCTTTTTTTTAATTTGATTTCCAGTTAAAATTAGGGTTCCTACACAGTTGGAAAAAGTATAGAATAAGCTTCCGGTCTGGAAATGTTTTGAAAAAAGAAAACTGTATTTCCACACAATTACCCCTATTCAGTTTTCTACATAACATAAATTTAGAAAAAAAATATTTTTACGAATAAATGTATCATGCAAGCTGATGATTTCATGGCAAATTGCAAGTGGGTTAAGAAAAATACACTTATTCAAAATACAGTCTTTGATATCTTAATATCTAATAACTTAATGTTTAATATATATATATATATATATATATATATATATAGGAAGAGTTCAGATGCAAAAGCCTCTAAGTGCCATTTGAAATTTTCTTCTAGTAAGATCATTTTTATCAAGCTTATATATTTAAGTTCAGTAATTTCACTTAAATTGCAATTGTCATTTAAGTGAAATTACTAAACTTGAATATATAAGCTTGATAAAAATGATCATTTTAGAAGAAAATTTCAAATGGCACTTAGAGGCTTTTGCATCTCTCTTCATATATATATATATATATATATATATATAGACTTTAAAACAAGGCAAAATAGCCTTCCAATTAGGAAAGATTTTTTGCTGTGCACAGTTTGTTATTATTTTCACAGAGTATTTCGCAAAGTTACATTTGTAGCGCTGCAATGGTAGCGGTTACCATGAGGCATTAAATAAACATTATAAGCAAGCAAAAATCTATATATTTAGATTATTTTATACATGTTTTCAGGAAAAGGGGAGATTTTCAGCCATTCAGAGCCAGTCTTATTGTTATGACAGTTGCAGTTAAATATTGTTAAAAATGACCAATTGAACAGTCTAAATTTACAGATCGAGCCCAAGTGCATTTTTACCAATTTAATCATGTTTAATGAAATTAAATGTTTTAAATTATTAAATTAATAATTACATTATTGTAATTAAATTATTTTCAAGGATATTATCAGTTATTTTATGTTAGATTTTAAATAGATGGGTGTAGATATCGGGGTAGTAATATAGTTTCAGTTTCGGGGTAGCAAAATTCAGTTTTCTTCAGTTCCATAGCATAACACAAAGTACCGTTGCGTTTGTAGCCATGTCCCTTGGTATTGTCATCGCCGTATCATGGCGTTTTTTTGATTAGCAACGACTCTGTAAACAGACGTTCAGATGATTCATCTGAGGTCTGGTGTGAGGGACAAGGGCAGCCCTTGACTGTTAACCTCCACCTACACGCACACAATGCCACTGCTGTCACAGCCACTGATGGCCACTCTTCTGTGTGTGTATGTGGGAGAGCTTCTGCATGTGTGTACGTGTGTGAACAGTATTCTCAAGAAGCCCTCTACCCCCAGCTGTCTGCTGTAGCTAATGATTGGTCCCAGGGGGGCTGTTGGGAAGAGGAGTGTAGAAATTGAAACAGACGTTCGCGTCCCTGCCACAACGTGTGTGGCAGCTGGGAGCGCGGCTCCGCCATTCAGCGCGAGGGAGGGTGAGCAGACTTTTAAAGTCATGAATATCAATGGTGAGCACAGAGTCAGTGATGAAGCATCAACTGCCAACCTGCCGTGTTTCCAGCGAGTTTATATCACTTTATCTGCTTTGTAGTGGCTAAGCGGCACTCATGGTAAACACAGTGATCTCGGGCTAAGACAGAGGCTTTAAGTGGTAGTTCTGCACTACCGCACCATTGAGGAATTGGTTTGTTTATATGACTGATAGAAATATTGTTATAATTGACCAATTAAACATTATACATTGACAGAATATACCCCAAGTGCATTTTCACCACCCCACCCCCCTCAAAAAAATTTTATATAAATATTAAATACATTTATTAAAAAAATAATAATGAAATTTAAGTTAGTATCAGTTAAGTTAGCATTATATATGAAGAGTTCAGATGCAAAAGCCTCTAAATGCTATTTGAAATTTTCTTCTTTAATGATTATTTTTTATCAAACTTGTATATTTAAGTTCAGTAATTTCACTTAAATAACAATTAATAGGTAATTATCATTGCCATTTAAGTGAAATTACTGAACTTAAATATACAAGCTTGATAAAAATGATCATTCTAGAAGAAAATTTCAAATGGCACTTAGAGGCTTTTGCATCATATATATATATATATGTAATGTATATATGTATATTACACTTTTTATAAATATTATAAAACTAATAAAAATACATAAAAAATACATCACCAAAGGTGATTATTATGGTGAAAAAGAAAGGTCCTTCACTCTTAAAAAATGCTGGGTTGTTTCAACCCAAAATTTGGGTCAAGTATGGACAAACCCAAATGTTGGGTTAAAAAAAATGTAATTAAAAAATTTTAACCCAACTTTAACTTTCATTTTCAACTGTAAATTTTTTAATGACATTTTTAACCCAACATTTGGGTTTGTCCATATTTGACCCAAATTTTGGGTTGAAACAACCCAGCATTTTTTAGAGTCTAGCTACACTTTCCCTTATGAATTAATGTATCAATTTCATCCTATAATCCCGACTTTTGATTTCAAAAAAGCTCATGGACATCTCATGCGTCATCTACCATTTACAAATCCATTCATGCATTTACATACCGCAGTGACATTATCATTAGGACGAATCTTTCTTGCGTATCTTTGATAAAGATAAAGCAACAATATTGATTGAGAATTATCGTAATTGTGTAACGGGGCTAATTGTTAAACCCTCTAATTTGTCTCTTGCCTTGTGTAATTAAGCTCAAATCCCACAGTGCATTTGAGTAATCCTCCGCTTCATCATTTATTCATTATCAAGCTGTTCTTATTAAACACCTCAATCATAATTATTAACCACGTCTTATCAATAAAACTACAAATTGCATCGGTTTACCAGATGAAACTGCAGCCGCGCAGAAGTGTAGGAGGAAAACTAAAGTGTTAAAGGTAGCATTAGCTACACGCTAAACTCATCTGTGCCTACGGCGGATTGGGTGTCTGTAGTTTATCCTCCTGTACCCCCTGCGCGCCTCCATCTCTCTCTCTTTAAAGAGCACGCTAGCCTTCAGATCCCTCAAGGTAAACCCCCAAATTACGCCTAATGTTCTACACAGGCTAATGGTTGTCAGTGCCATTAGAATATGCGTTATTTGGCTCCGCGGGTTTCAGACACTCCCAGACCAGACCGTTGCCGCGCGCACACACACACATTTACACGCGCACACACTCTTATGCACCCCAGGCCTGTGGAGATGAATGGAGTTTGCAACACTACAATGAGCTTTTGATGCCAAGACAATGGAGGAGGCTGCCCACATCTGACACACTGTGTGTGCGAGTGTGTTTCTGAGGGCCGCTAACAATATGGGGTCCACTTTGCCGGGCCCTTCTGCCCCTGGGCTGGTCGGGGGGTTGTGGGTAATAGTGTCCCGAGGGCGCCCAGAAATGATGTGGAAGTGTCATGAAGCTCAGAAAGATGGCCGTGGCTTGCCCACTGACACCCCCTGTTCTCACCGCGTCACAGAAACACACTGGCGTGGAGCGGCAGGTTAATATCACTTATATAAAATCACCTTACACCCGAAACCCAACCTCTCTTGTGCTTGGATGCTCGTGTGGCCTCTCCCATTACAGCCGCGGTCCTCGGGCAAGACCGAATCATCATTTGTTACTCACGCGCACGTCCCCCTTCTCGTCAAGCTAATAGAGGTGAAACGGAGGTGTGCTACATCTCTTGTTGTTCTCTGGGGTTGTGGATCTTCACTTGTCCTGTAAAATGTGGTGGAACCAGGGTCCAAAATTAATGAAAAATCGGCAATTGACCCGTAATCTGTTGAGGATTTTGATCATTTTTTTCTAGAAAGCCAGAGCTTTTAGTTTTTTTTATTATTGTTTTGTATTGATGTCTTTCTTGATTGTACTATATGTATGTACACACAATATTATATTATATAATACAATAATTATTATATTACTATATTGATTATTATTATTTTATTTTTATTTTATTATAATTATTTTATTTTTATATTGAATATTACTAATGTTTTTATTATTGTTATAATATATGGGGATCTGAAACGCAAGTGTCAAGCTCGAAGCACAGGTAACTGTGGGCGGGTCTTGGGCGCTGTTGCTATTTTACCGGCGGGATAAATGACTCTTGCGCCTGACACAAGTTTAAAAGGGGTTGGTCTGAAATAGCTTCATTATTCATAGGTGTTTTTTGGGCGTAACGTGAAATAAACTAATCAGAGCGTCATCCAACATATTCTTTAAGAGCAGGTGCATGTTATTATTAGGGCGGATTTACCAGGAGCGTTCACAGCCGAGGAGACAGACTTCTTTTCAGGGCAGTGAAAGACAGAGATGTGACGTTGTATGGGTTGTAATTTGCTCTGGATGAATATTGTTGGTGTTACAGGGCTTGAATTTTGACGATTGCTCATATTGAGCATACTTTTACTCATTCCCGCAGATTTTGTGCTCACAGCCAAGTATATTGGCTATATAAAACAGTATAATGTATCTGTGCGTCAAGTCTTAAAGTGACAGCAGCCTAATATACTGGCTGCCAAATTATGATATAATATAAAAAATATCTATAGGGCAGTTTTTTTCCCTATGGTATGAAAATGCAAAAACTTTGGAAAGCCACTAGCCACAGTGGCTGGTGAGCAAAAAAGTTAATGTCAAGCCCTATATATATAATTATATATACAAACAAAATTGTATATTACATATTAATACTTTATCATTAGTTCAGGTAAGGGACTCTGTTGACTAAACTATATGTCTGTTTTCCTTCCTCCAGCCAATGGGATGACAGATCCTCTCAGCTCCGCCCCTGGCATGAGCAGCGCCACCAGTCCCAAACTTGAGCCTCCGCCGTCACCTCATGCCAACCGTAAGAAACACAGGCGGAAAAAGAGCACGGGCATCACCAAACCAGACGGGCTTTCTGCAGGAAATGAAGGTAAAGGGACGCAAAACATGACCTGTCCCGTTGGTTGGTTCACAAAACAACATAAACAGCAGTAGCGCTTTTAGTAGGTTTGCTTTGGTGAACGAGTGCTCGTTTTAGTGAAAAAAGTCTTTTAATCCTTTTCTGAATTAGAAAACACTGCGATTTGATCCATTGTCCTGTGCCTTGTGTGCAACAAAGATGATGTGTCATGAACACGCTGCCACTTTGGTTTTATTGCCCGTCCCAATGACAAATACAGTCTCCTAATTGGTTGTTATTGAGGAAACAAAAGCACATCCCTCAGGCTATTCTGTTGCCAATAGGCAAAATCCATCAACTAGATGGACGCTGTCCATCAATGACTATGCCACTGCTGCTTCCTAATAAACTTGTCGTTTGTTTTGGAAAATCATTTTATCAGCCAATGTGCGACTTTGACATCACACAAAGACCATGATCAAGCACTTGTAGGTGGTTTTGAACCATCCGTTTTTATCGATTTTTCCAGACAGAAGCTAGTTTAGCTTATTCTAAACGTCACCAGAATCAAGTTTAATTGTGTTTTTACGTGAGCTAGAATAGCCTCAAATGATCCAGCTTCACTATTGTGACTATTTTATTGGTTTTAAATGTGTATGAACGACATTGCAAGCTCAAGGGATCACAGACATGGTCATTTGAGTTAAAGACGTTCTTAGCGTTCGTTCTGTCTCATTACATGCGGTCTAATTGTCAGTTCCTCAAGAATATGAGGTCTAACCTTTGATTTGCTTGAGCTTTACTTGGTCATCTGGCAGAATAACAGAGGCGGATTGTGTGTGCGGACAGAATTCGGTGGGAACTTCCATCATGAACATCGGCGTCTTTGCGCCGCTTCAGTCTGAAAGGTTCTATTAGTGTGCGCTTGTCTGCTCTAGTGAGTGCATGCAGAATACAGACATATTGCTTAAGTATGACAATCACTCATATGGAGCAAGTAGTATCTACTGAAGGCAGAGGAGTAGGAGGGGTGGTGTAGGGGGAGCTTGGATCCTTGAATAAATTGCTATCAGTTTATCTCATTTACGGGGCAATCAAAAGCGCCGAATGCTGGCAGAAATCGAATTTTAGCTGTTGTGAAGCATCATAAATCAAATGTGCTGTCGCTCTCTAAGAAGGTGAGGCAACTTTTTTGTGCTTTGCTTCGTGAACGAACGTCTCTGGCAAGTCTGGAAGATATTTACAGCTCTAATTCACAAATGGTCTTAGGCGGTTGATGGTTTCACGTATACATCCACAATTAGACAACTAAACGAATTGTTGAGGGCAAAAAGTGTGCTTGCTGGGAGCATTGAGAAAGCTCATAGTGAATCAGTTCATTTCAGATCACTGACTCTTCTGAATGAATCCATTTGATTCAAGCAGGCCGAGACCATTTAAACCGTTCAGACCCTGAAGTTTAATCCAACAGCAAACGGGCCTTTAATTCCTCTGCATTTGAACAGCTTCAGTGGAGCATCTCCTCCATTCCTGCTGGATGTACAGCGGTATAATGAACATCTCAGGTGCTTACAAGATGATCCAGGGTTCCCACTGAGTCGACTGACAGGAGCTTTAATGCCTTTCTTTGTAACTGCACCTTTATCTTCACTCATGTACAGTTTAAAGATCTGCTCTGCTAGTCTGATCTTGATTAATCTGGGCTATTTTCCTCCAGTCTATCCATGCACTCTTTACAGATCTATTTATTTCTTAAATGTACTTGCTCTACAGAACTTTTTGTCTTGTATAGTAAATATAACATCAAATGATACTGTATTGAATGCGTTATAGTGTGCTGTTTAAAATGTAAGTCACAAATTGTGTACTGTCTGAATAATAATTCAACTTTTTAAATAAGCCGTAGCTTAACATATATTATAGTTTTTTAAATTGTAAATTTAATCTAATTTATTAGTGGTAGTAGTATAACAGTAGTATGTTATTGTTGTGGTTGTTATTATTAGTTATTTAAAAAAAATATATAACAATTACATTTTTAAATATGAAATTTAATTTTATTTATTATTATTAATATATTATTGATAATAAAATAAATAGTAGTTGTTGTTGTTGTTATTATTAATATTATTTGGTTTATATATATATATATATACACATATAATTATTATTTATTGTATATAAAAAGATTTAAATATATTATTATTATTAATAGTAAAAATAATAGTAACTATTATTGTTGTTATTTGGTTTATATATAATCATGTTTGTATATATACATATATATATATATATATATGTGTGTGTTTGTGTGTGTGTATGTATAATAATAATTACATTTTTAGATATTTAAATATTAAATTGCATTTAATTTATTATTATTGTTATTATTATGGTTTTACTCGTGTAGTCTAATGATCATTTAGTTACTATTGTGGCAGAAAATAAAATATAATAAAATATAATTTCTACTTATCGATTATTAAAAATCAAATGTGAATAATCACTAAAGGTCATAAAAAGATCAGACAATCTCTGATTACAGCTAATTAAGGCCGAATCAGTTTCTCAATCTAAATACAAAGATCAATAGTTGTAACTTTCAAGCCGTTTTTATAGTAATATAACGATGTGCATGTGGCATTACTAGTTTTGATCCTGCGGGCTGATTAATACACTTGCCCGGTTTGCAGACAGCCAGCTGCGGGTGAAGCTTCATGTGTTTTTTAGACTGGTGCTGCTGGTTTCTCGTACCCCCAGTGTCTCTGTTACACCTTTTAAAGAAGATAAAATGTGATTGCACAAATATATTTGTACATTCATGCGCATCAGGTCATTGTTGGAGTGTTTCTGTCTGCATTTACCTTCAGTTCATTGTTTGAAGTGTGTGTGTATATAGGGGGTGTTTTTGTTTACACTGTGTGTGCGCCTGATGGAGACGGTGAATGCGTTCTCGCCTCCTCAGTGTTTGTCCCGTATCCCCCCAGGCCCGTGTCAGTAATGGGCGCGTGCTGATTGCTCTAATACAGGTTAGGAATATTGCCTTTAATGATGTGTAAAATGAGCAAACGCCACTGCTGACATTTACAGATGGCACAGGCAGGTCTGGTTCCTCCCAGCTGCCTGTTAATTCTTACACACCAGCTAGCATCTCTATAGGCCCAGTCCTGTTTAGTGTACTAGCTCACATGTGTTGGATTCAAGGTTTCTGAGTTTTTAGAGCCACACACACACCTTGACTTAAACCCCTCGCGGCTTTGTGCCGGCGCTGATTTGATGGATCTGTGGTCGCGTGGCGGAGAGCTCTGACAGAATAGCAATCGGGTCACACTGGCAGGTCCAGATGTGGTACCGGAGCAGGCGTGTGACCCAGAGGGTGTTTGGAGTAGAAGCATCTGCCTCGATTAGACACGATGCACTTGAGTAAATGTTGTGACTTCGTTTTCCTTTCCTTCTTTCTCTTTCTCTCTCTGTGCTAATTTGCTTTAAAGGGGTGGTTTAAATAGTGTGTAATGTTGCTGTTGGTGCAAAGTTGCAGCGCTGAAAGTTCAGTGTAAGCAGAGATATCGTCCTTTAAAAATCAGGAAGTATATTGCCTACAAAAACGACTCGATTGGGACTACAGCTGGGTTTTAGACGTCACTAACCCACACATTTGCATCAACCCTCCCTACGAAAAATGCGAGAAAGGGCATACGCATATTTCTGCGGCACGTCGAGTGTGTTGTGTTCACCCAGCTGTCAGGTCTTCTGTGTTCGGGCTTCTCACGGACGCTGTACTTCGTCAACAATGGATACAATTTATGTTTGATTATGTTCCTGAAAATGACGATTGTAATTTAGCTCTCTGTGCTGCGCATTTTACGGAAGACAGCTTCCAGAATCTCCACAAATTCAACGCCGGATTCAACAAGAAACTGTTACTAAAACATGAAGCAGTTCCGACTTTAAAACCAGAGGCAGCAGTTGTTGGGCCACAACCTGTAAGTAGGCTAAATCATTTTAAATGTATTTGCGTGTATAATTTCAGACGTAATGTTTTAGTTTTATCAAATGCCAGCACTGGCTTTATAGCAACTTAGTTATGCAATTTTGTGTCTACGACAAACGCATACAAACATTTTGAACCTGAATTTGTATATGTACTATTTTTGTAAATGTATTTTTCGTGAATATATACTTTATGACGTTATTTTTCGATTTGATCAAGAACGTAAACCAGTGCCAAGTTCAACGCTGCTTGTTTTTATATAGTAGCCGGTCAGTTATGCTATTGTGTAAAACAAATGTGTATAAAGTTTTAAAAATATATAGGTAAATTACCATTCAGAACCGTTTTGTAAGAGCCGTGTGTGGTGAGGTTCTGCTTGCCTCTCTTCATCGCCGCTTTCTGGGACATGAACACATATGCAACTTCGCCCGTAAAGGTAAAATGGGCATTAAGTATCCGGACAACGTGCGCTATACATTTTAGCCAATCACAACACACCGGCCCAGACTAACCAACCGGAGCCTACTGCCTGTTTCTGAGGGAGTGGTTTCATAGACTCGGGAAATCAACTGGCCGTTCAAATGACAGAGGCGTACAATAAAGGTGAAATTTTTGAAAAATAAGACTTTTTGAAAAAGAAAAACACGAATACATTATTTTGCACCCCATAAACAAAATCATGCAAAGAAAAAAGCATTAACCACTCCTTTAAAAAAAAAAATCAGGTTGAAATGTATCTCAACTTAAAGGCCTAAACAGACTTAGTGTCCCAATATGTGTTACTGGTCTTATTGTGCATGATTTACAGATTTACAGTACACATTACTTAAAACAAGAAAAAAAATGTATTTTAAATAAATGCTGTTCTTTTTTAACTTTCTATTCATCAAAGAATTTTTTTTTTTTTTAAAAATGATAATAATAATAAATTCTTGAGCAGCAAATCTGCATATTAGAATGATTTCTGAAGGATCATGTGACACTGAATACTGGAGGAATGATGCTAAAAATTCAGCTTTGATCACAGGAATAAATTACGTTTTAAAACACATTGAAAATGAAACGGTTATTTTAAATCGTAATAATATTTCTGGGTTTACTGTATTTTTGATCATATAAATGCAGCCTTGTTGAGCCATACGAGGTTGCTTTATAAATATATAGATATTTAAATCTTACCAACTCTAAACCCAGAAGAAAGAATAGAAACTTGAATGAACGATTGCAAGGGCCGGGAGAAAGACTGTGGTTTTAGATGTTGTTATCTTTCTTTTATTGTAGCGTATTAATTAAGGTAAGTTGTTTCTGCCCTCTTTGCCTCCAGTCCCTCAGATTGGATTTTAACTGGATGTAGTCAGGCAGAACCTGCTCGGCTCCGTCTCATTACTGCTAATTTCTGAGCACCAGTGGCTGATTGGGAGCTTTCGTTATTGCACATTTTATATCAACAGACCAGAGTCTGATGGTAATTTTTGAGATAATATGCTTTCTAAATTTCCTATAGTGCAGTTTCCGATTCTCTTGGACCTACACCACCAGTCGTATGTTTGAGACACGCATGCAAATACTTTACTATGACTCATTTTCTGATTTTTAAATTAAAGTCAAGTCATGAATACTGTGAAATAATAACACATATGAAAGTATGGGAACAACAAATTAATATTAAATAAATTAAAATGAATCCAAGGTTTGGTGTGTTGTGTTCAGAGATGCTCTTCTTGTTGGTGCCAGACCAGCCCATCTTAAGCTAACATTTTGATTGGTTGATTTGCTCTTGAGACACAACAATTCTTTAAATTCATTTGACATCAACAGTTCATTTTCTGAGTCAGGTGATTTTCCTTTTGACTGCAATGAACTACTGTTGATTCGGACATTTTGGAGCATCATAAATGAGTTTAAATACTATGCTAGTTAAAGGGATACTCCACTTTTTTTTACTCCACTCATTGACTTCCATAGTATATTTTTTTCCTACTATGGAAGTCAATGAGACCAGAAACTGTCTGGTTACTGATATTCTTCTAAATATCAGAAAATCGTCTGAATGGATTCGAAAACGGTAAAACCCAATTGTTTAACTCTGGGGGAGTTGTAAAATGAGCCTATTTCCAAAAAAAAAGTGGAGTATCCCTTTAAGACAACATGTGTTTTTACATTGCTTCAACTCATCAAAATAAGTTAAGCAATTTTCAACTTTTGTTCATGTTATACAAGATTCAACTAATTTAGTTTAATGCCATTTAAATGACTTATTTTTTTTACCAGCCACACTGAGTATCTCAGCTCTCAAATTATCTGCCTTGTTTTTGAGAATAAACTTTCACACTCCTTTTTATCATAGAATTTAACAATTACTGTAATTGTGTGCTGCTCAACAACTAAAGGACAAAAATAATTTAGCTTAGCTTTTATTTTCTGTGGTTTCAAACATCAGAAACAGATTTTTTTCTCTTTATTATAATTCCACATTGAAATTACCTGTTGTAATGGCTAATTTATCAGATGGCCAGCCAACAGAGTAATTGTTTGTGTTCGGATGCAGAGGTGTATAATCATTGGACAGTGGAATGCAAGATAATTGTTTTGCTGTTCATAATAGCAGACAGGAGAGAAACTATATCACAACAGCCATGATGTTACCCAAATACACTAAATATGTAATAATGATGTTTGTACAATTTGTTCGTTACTAAAAATGAAATGCGTTCCCTTATTTTGACCACTCTTAGAAAAAAAAAAGGTTTTATCCATTATTGGTTCTATGTATAAAGTGCCTGACAGACCCCTTTAATGTTCTTTATAAAACCTTTCTTTTAAGACCTCCTAAATGAATTCTAGCGACCTTTGTTGGACATATTTATCCACATTGTGTATCCAGGCTTACGCTTGTGCTTCGTTTCCAGCAAAAAGAAGCATGAAATGTAAACAAAGAAGAGAGATCAACTGGGGCGACGGACCTTCACCCTTTAGTCCTTGATTTAGACACAAAGCTGCTGGCTCCGTATTGATCCCTGACCTGGAGTCAAGTCCCGTGAATAAATCGGGTAATTGAGGAGGGTGTCAAACTAATTGGATTGTTGCCATCCGCTTGAGGCCAAGTTCTCCGCTGAAGTGAACGGGAGTCTTTTACAATGATACGCATGCGTTGAGCGGATCGGTTCAAGCCTTCACATGGAGATTATTGATTGGAGATGAGAGTAGACGGAGATCCATATGCTTCACATTCAAGATAAACCGCTGCCTTAAAACCCCATTCATCATTTCATTTGAATTTAAAGTTGTGTGCGTAGTTTTTATGCAAGCGTGAGCGGTATGATGGTAGAAATGTGCCATCTGGTCAAAATTTTATGCACTGTAAAAAAATATTTTCATGATTTGTAATCACAACCTTTTTTTCTTTTGTTAATCAACTTAAATAATGTATGTAGTTCAGATAACATCATATTTTGAGTTTGTGATGCTTAAATAAATCTCCTTCATTGTATTAACTTAATTATTCCAGTTCAATGAGCTTAAAATTTTATTGGAACCAGGTTACTTCATTTTTTTAAATTAAACCAACGATTTTTTTTTTACAGTGTGGTAGATATATTAGATACAGAGCGGGACATGCCTCAATGTACCATTCAACAATAATTTGTAATGAATAATCCCATATATCCCATTAGTTTATGTCTGTTAAGTTCCAATAAAATAAAATAAAGTAGCTTTCATTTATAATTGATTTAATTCATTGGATCATCAAAAATAGACATTGTAAAAATATGTTCATGATTTGTGATCACAACATTTTTTCTTTTGTCAAATCAACTTAGATCATTTATGTAGTTCAGATAACATGCATATTTTGAGTTTCTGATGATTAAATCAATCTCCTTTTTCCTCTTAACTCAATTTTTCCATTTCAAAGTACTTAAAATTTTAAGGCAACCAGGTCACTTATTTTAAGTTATTTTAAGTTAAACCAGTGTAATATTACTACAGTGTAATAATAATAATAAAAGAATACTTGTTGAAACATGTATAAAAACATTGATTTTTCAGATTATATTATTATAGCTAACCCTGTTATATATATATATCACATTGTATGGAAAGATTTAAATTGACAAAGAAAGAAAAAAAAATAACAGGGTTGGCACATGACCTTGATAATTCATGATAATTTCTCTAAAAATGAGACCTCAATAATGTGTTAATGATCATTGACGGTGGGCGTCAATAAATGGTGTTATTTTGTGCATTTTAATGCTAATAAACGCTAATAAACCTTTATCCTGTAAAACTACTGCAGTGATTGAGTCTGTGAACTTGTTTTCGCCTCGTCGGCCGGAATACTCGCGTGTGTAATCATCGTCACGTACACATCAAAGTGATCATGCTTTTGAAATGAATGTTGAGCAAATTGCAGAAATGATGGTCTGTTTTTCACCTCTCGCCCCTCATTTGAGCTCGGTGGAAACTTTGCTGTACCTCGCGTGTGCTTTTGCGATGTGGAAATTACTGTGACCAGAATGATTAACCCACATTATATTCTATTTAGGCAGCTGCAATAATAATGAGTCTTCCCTGGTAATGAGATAAGTACTCTAATGGATGTATTTACCTTTTTAATCACTTGGATTTTACGATGCTGATGAACAACAGCAACTGACACTAATCGCAGATACCCATAATGCACCTTGGATATTGGCCATTTAAATGTTTGTGTTTGCAGCCTTCATTGAAGAAATAATGGCATATACATGATATCCAGGATACAGGATGTTTTTTTTTTCTTTTTCTTTAATCTACAATTAAATTTGAATAATTTAATGTTCTTATGTTTGATTTGAATTATTGATTTATTTTTTAAAAATATGTATTTACTTTTTTTTCTATTAATATATGAAGAGTTCAGATGCAAAAGCCTCTAAATGCCATTTGAAATTTTCTTCTTTAATGATGATTTTTATCAAACTTGTATATTTAAGTTCAGTAATTTCACTTAAATAACAATTAATAGGTAATTATCATTGCCATTTAAGTGAAATTACTGAACTTAAATATACAAGTTTGATAAAAATCCTCATTAAAGAAGAAAATTTCAAATGGCACTTGAACTCTTTATATATAATTATATTAGGGCTGTCAAAATTCAAATTAAATTTTTCAAGTTTAAGGCGTTACAAATATTTAACATCCATTTTTTTATACGTACTTTAGTTAGCGTTACATTATATAAACAGGCTCTTATTCATGAAAATGCTTAAAAATCATTTAAGCACAATAAGACACTAAAGAGAACGCCAAAAGTCGAGTATCCTCCCAAGCACAGTCTTAAATGTGTTAAATAAAGTCTTAGTGTTAATAATTATTAATTATGTTCAGATAATTGTGTAATGAAGTTGTGTTGCATATCATTGTGGACCCACAAATCTTTTGCACAGAAAAGTTTGTCGTTTACAGAACTGATCACGGTGTATAACCCATCTCACATTTGGTGTGTTTCAGAGCAAGAAGAGTCCTTTGAGTTCATCATCGTGTCCTTGACGGGTCAGATGTGGCACTTTGAGGCTTCCACGTTTGAGGAGAGAGAACTGTGGGTGCAGGCCATTGAGAGCCAGATATTTGCCAGTCTGCAGTGCTGTGAGAGCAGCAAGAACAAGGTAAGACGCTATTATGGTATTATGCACACTCAAACAAACCCCTCTGCTCTTTCCTCATTGTAATATCTGAATTGTTATGGCACGTAGTCTCGATTAGGAAGCCAGAGCGATGCGTTGACCATCCAGTCCATCAGGAACGTGAGGGGAAACAGCTTCTGTGCAGACTGTGACGCCCCCAGTGAGTGAGACATTTCTGAACGTGAAGCTAGTCTCATTTCATTAGATATTTGCCGTAATGTGATAAACTACATTAAACTAAAAGTATTAACAATAATTATAATCTTTTGGGGGTTTTGGATAGTTTTACTTACATTTGTACAAAACCCCAGTCCGGGATATGGAGTAGTTCACTCAAAAATGAAAATTTCCTGATTATTTATTCTCCCCAAGATTTATATTTCTTTCTTTTCACAGCTGAAGAGAAATTTAGGTTTTGGAGGGAAACGTTCCTGGATCTTTTTTTTTTTTTTTTTTGATGTAGGCAGCAAGAACTGCCCATTGTTTACAACTGAGTTTACATCCAGGATACACAAGCTGTCCATTTTAAAACTGAAACAAATACTAATATACATCAACGACAATTTGTTCAGGGCAGCGTTCCTTCTCCACACTTCCTGCTGCCTACGTCACCTTCCCAACGTGCATACTACGTCATTCGAGAGGTCGTGAACTCAAACGTCTCATGAGTACGCTATGCACCAGTTGGGCTACAGTGAACATTTGTAGTTACTAGTTTGAAAAGTATATGTTTTTTGGTCCCACTTTATATTAAGTGGCTTTAAGTACTATGCACTTACATTGAAATTAATAATTTGATACAGTGGGCTTACATGTATATTTTGAAAATACTTGCATGTATTTACAGCTATAATTAATTTATGTTATTACATTTCCCTACCCATACCACCACACCTGACCCTAACCTTACCTGTATCAGATCTCAATAGAAGCAAAAGTGTTTTACAATACAACCTGAACACAATAAGTACATTGTACTTATTTTTCGATGTAAGTACATAGTACTTAAAGCGGGACCGTTTTTTTTTTTTTTTTTTTTTTTTTTTCCTGAAAATAACTGATTGTTTCGCTAGAGAAGACATTTAATCATCGACCGGGGTTGTTTGGAGCCCTTTAAAGCTGCTTAAATATGCATTTTGGTTTACATTGAGCACCATTCACTTGTATTAGATGGAGAAAATCCTGGAATGTTTTCCTCCAAAACCTTAATTTCTGTTCGGCTGAGGAAAGAAAGTCATATACGTCTCGGGTGGCCTTGGGGTGAGTATATAATCAGGAAATATTCCTTAAAGGTTGGCATAGTCATTGCTGAAAATGACCCATATCCGACCTTGAAATGTGTATAATGTTGATTTGGTATGGTACACTGAAGTGTATTGTCACTGACCCTCAGATCCAGACTGGGCTAGTCTGAACCTCGGCGCTCTGATCTGTATCGAGTGCTCGGGGATGCACAGGAACCTGGGTACACATCTGTCCCGTGTACGGTCTCTGGACCTGGACGACTGGCCGGTGGAACTCAGCATGGTGATGACTGCCATCGGGAACGCCATGGCCAACAGCGTATGGGAGGGCTGTGTGGAGGAATACACCAAACCCGGGGTAGACAGCACCAGGTGGGTTAGCCTTGAAAACTAGTCAACAAAATCATCATGACCAGATTCTTTTGTCCCAGGCACCATGAATTCAAGCGACAACTCTGATTATAATAGATTATAAAGTTTGTTAATTGTCAAATTATTTCTGTTTTGTGTTATTAGCCAGGTTTCCATCCAGTTTGCTAGCTTGTATTGCCCCAAAAAAAGAAGCTTTAAGGGCTTCCTGTGGTTTTCAACCAAAAAAAAGTTGGTTTAACGTTAAAATATGAATTGTGATAGTATAAAAATAGGGCTGTAATAAAAATACATCTATATATCTATACATTTATATATCTATGAAAATACAATTTTGGCCTTATTGTGTGGCGATAAAAAGATGCACAGCAAACCTGGAGATTTTTTTATATTGCATTATGAATCATAGATTTTATTTTGGTCTTTACAAAACACTTTTTCACAAATTGTTTTTTTCAATAAAACAATTAATCTTGAGACTCAACTGTAAGCATACTTATTAACTTGATACTAAATAAATTATTGCCTACATACTAGCTTGCATAGACTAATACCAAATGGTCAATTTTAATAACGTTTGGAGTGGGAATTCAAGTTGCATTTACGTTCTAAAGTTTTGTTTTGCATCGTTTGACATTAAACATGGCAGCTTGAAGTATGAAAGAAAGTGAAGTGTAGTATTGGAAGGGAAGAGGTTGCAATGGACTCTTTGTTCAGGCTATGGAAGCATATTCAAGTAAGCCTTGCATCCAGTGTCAGTTATATGATCAATGGCTGAACTGTGTCAAAGTCTTCATCACCCAATCATCGGTCCATTAGTGCTGTTTGAAGAAGATGAGATGCTTCAGGAGATAATAGGGTCCATAGACCATTGTCTGAAGCCGCTCACCTGCTCTGGTTCCAGGCCATGTCTCGAGGTGTTTCCCCCCTTTAAGCCTGACACGCGCTCTCACGTTCCCCAATCTGTCTAATGACCTGGAGAAAAGAGTGTTTTTGGTGGCAATTAAGGACACTATTACAGTCCCAAAGCACTCCCCTTGGGGCTGAATGGAGCGCTCTCAGTGGCTCTGACAGCTATCCATCACTCAGGGGGGTGTATCAGTCACTCCTGAGGGGATGAATCCAGTCGCACACCTTGACACCACCTGGCCTGCTCTAATGTATCGTAATGTAGGATGCATTTTAATGCTAAAGCATTAGCTGCTGAACTGCATCATATGCCTTTATCTGTTTGATCAGGTTTAGAGATGCTATTGGATGCATAGTAAATGATTTTTATAGCGCATAATTTGACATTTTCGTGTTATGGACATGAATGACCCTTAAAATGTGGCTTGATGAGAAGAAATGTGCTATTACTTTTGAATTGGGACTTTTGCCTTGAACACCAGCACCAAATCCTGTTTGCTTTTATGCTATAGCCAATAACCAATATGATGACAGACCAATAATATATATATATATATATATATATATATGGCTTCTTATTTATTTTTGCCATAAATATAGCCTTTAAATTAAATCATTCATTAATTCCTCTAGAACTAGCATCTAAAAAGATATTTAACTGATATATATATATATATATATATATATATATATATATACACACACACGCATATTTATACATTCATCAATTTGACAGCACTAATATATATATATATATATATATAAGGGCTGTCAAACGATTAATCACGAAAGTTTGTGTTTACGTAATATATGTGTGTGTGGTGTATATAATTATTTTATATCTATAAATACACACATGCTTGTATATATATTCAAGAAATATTTTCATGTATATACTGTATATAGATTTATATATAATTTATATTATATAAATATGAATATTTTATATATAAATAATATTTTTTTCTTAAATATACATGCATGTGTGTGTATTTATATATACAAAATAATTATACACAGTGCACCCACATATATTATGTAAACACAAACTTTTATTTTGGATGCGATTAATCGCGATATTATGTATATATTATATATGTGTGTGTGTGTTATTGTGAATCTCTAGTTAATAGTGTTTTTTATGTTTTTATGATCATGGAATGATAGTATTTTGTGAAAAAAGTGGATTGCATTTGCAAAAAGATCTATTTTTCTACCTATAAATATCTATGTACTGACTTAATGTTTATATACTTTGTTTACCTGCTATAATATCTGTTTACAAGACAGTGAAGTGACCTGCCGCTTCATAGTGTGCAAGTCAAGACAGCATCAGGATTTCCCTCAGTGGAGAGCGTGAACAAAGACGTAACAACTGCCCTACAAAAGTGTGCGTGGCGCAGATAGCATGTAAAGGAAGATAGCCCTTTCGATCCACTCCCCACCTGGGGTGCTTCAGCCTTCTGTCTCCGTCTGTCTCTCTCTCTCCGTTCTTTTCTCTCACTCGGTGGCGAGTGATGGCTCACAGTTATCTATTGAGTGGTTGGCGGGCTGCAGCTGAGTGCTTTTGACTTGATGAAAGATTATTGATGCTGATATCCCCCCTCACACTTCAGTCGTCAGGACGGGCTCACTGCCGGAGGAGGGAATGTTTTTCATTGTCAGGAGAATCTGATGGTTCACGGCATCCTCCATTTCTCCCGTTCTCTCGCTCGCTCACTCATTCTCTCACCCGCTTGGACAAAAACTGAAAATCTCATTACCGTCATAACTGATTTTCCTTAGCCAAGGAGTAATGGGTGAAACATGGTGTGTGTTTAGAGTGCACATATGTTCAATATGTAGTCATCAATATGTCGTTTTTTTTTTCTCTCAATATGACAATAATTACTGGTGTAATTTGATTGTGTCATGTGTGTGTGTATATATATACATATATGTATGTCTCAGATCAAGTCACAGTCTTAGCGCTTGTTTTTTTTGGTTCATGTTGGTCATTCACTCATTGGTATGAATGGGTCATTTGGACGGTCAATTATACATGTATCATCAAAAAGTCGTTTGACATCAGTGAGATGAGTAATCGGGCTGGTTTTACTGTGGTGCAGTCAGGCAGGATTGATTTAACTCTCATCACGGAGGTGAAAACTAACATCCGAGTGAGGGTGACAAGTCTCGGTGTTCTCCGAGCTCATTTACAGCCCTGATGACTAATTTAAACCCCATAACACAAGCCATGCGAGGCCGTAATGGGCTCTGGATTACTTGCGTACACACTTTCCCATGAGCTAAACACAAACACTCAAATGTGAAAAAGTCTTGCACAAATTTCCCTCCACAGTCTTAATGAAATAAGCTAAGTTTTATTGTTATTTGCTATATTATTATTTGTTATTGCTACTTAGAAAGAGAACTAACAAGTTGATTTGAGACTGTTCCAGTTCGATATAAAGTTTGGCATCTTAAGCTTTTATTTAAACATTTTTATTTTATTTTCAAGCTGTCCAATCGCTCATAATCATTATTTGTATTGTTTAAATATGCATATATTTATATTGTTTTATTTATTCTGCTTAAGTACTTTTAATTAAATGATAACGATTAATCATTATAAAAAATGTAGTCATAGATTTTGTTTAAATGAATTTGTACACTCTAAAAATTGCTGGGTTGTTTTAACCCAAATTTGGGTCGAATATGGACAAACCCAAATGTTGGGTTAAAAAATGTAATTTAAACATTTAACCCAATGGCTGAGTTTGTCCATATTTGACCCATGGGTTAAAACAACCCAGCAATTTTTAGAGTGTAGCATTTTGTATTTTTTTTGTTTATTCAGCACTCAAAGATTTAAAATGATAGAGATTTTTTTTTTTTTTTTTTTTTTTTTTTTTACTTATTTTAATGCTGTCTAAGCTCTTGTTTTACTTATTAGTGTAGTATTTTACTTATTCATATTTAGTATTTATTTTACTTGTTTATTCTATTTGTTTTACAGTAGGGTTGTTTTGTGAACCCAAGTAGGATAAATTCAGGATAATTTGTCCACATTTGACTGTCATATTTCTTTAATTCTCTGAATTTGCCCTATATTTGAGCATACAATCTCACTTTAAACAATGCTGGGTTGTTTTAACCCAAATTTGGGTAGAATATAGACAAAAATGTCATTTCAAATTTGAACCCAACTTTCACTTTCAACTGTACATTTTTTAATTGCATTGCATGGGTTTGTCCATATTTGACCCAAATGTTGGGTTGAAACAACCAAGCGTTTTTTTTTTAGAGTGCTCAATCATGATTATATTTTCTCCCTCTGTGAAGTTAACACACGCAATTTTCATTTCCTGTTTAACTAAACCAAGATTTGACACGCATGGAATCTCAAAGCGTCTCACCTGCTGATGTGTTTCCAGCCGTTTTAATTATAAATATTGTTTTAATTATTGAGCAGCGTCAATCGATCATGGAGCTGTGTAGGTAATCTGTTAACCAGATTGATAGATTTATGATAGATTTGCACAGTTTTGTCATGAATTCTTGTGTGGCCATCAATCTTGCTGTGTGGAGAGCGCGGCGCTGCAGAGGTTGGCTCATCCGAGGCTGTTTGGGCTTAAATTAGAAATTGGCAGTTGTGTGTGTTTTCGTGTCGACTCTAATTGCCTGGCACCCGTGTGCCACAAGACTGAGAGAATTCTTTCAGACAGGACGCTGACGATTCACACACGTGTACGGCTTTGATTTGAATCGCTCGCGTCGCTCACGTCATATTATTGCTTTTACAACTCTGTTTAAACTATGTATTATGATTCGGGGGGTTGTCAACAAACTTTTTAAAGGAGTAGCTCACTTTTTAAAAAAAAAACATTTTCTGATAATTTACTCAACCCCATGTCATTCAAGATGTCAATTTCTTTTCGACTGAAGAAAGAAATACATGAAGGTTTCTCCATATAATGGACTTCAATGGGAACCAAACGGTTCAAGGTCCAACTGAGAGTTTCGGTGCAGCTTCAAAAGGCTTTAAACGATGAATAAGGGTTTTTTAAAAGTGAACTACTCCTTTAAATGTGAAATATGTGTCTATACTGTAT